AGCCCGCATACATCGCTTCGAATTTCGAATCGCTTCGTAACTAGTAAGCAAATCATTTAAACTTTTGATGAAAGCTCGCTTTATTTAAGTAAGCTTGCAATTGTATGTTTGTTATTAACAGTTTAATATGGCAAAATGTAGGTATTTTTTTCGGAATTTGTTTGTTTTTCGTTGTTTTTAGGCATGCTTTTTACAAAAATTAAAATTATTTTGTTTGGTAGTAATATTTTTTTCTTTAAAAAGCAGGAGGCAAACGGTAGGAAGATCTTGGGACAATCTTGAGACCGCGCGGTACAAACGCTATTGGAAGTTCCAGAGTAAGTGCTCTGATGCCATAACCAAACGTTGTAGCGCCACTGCTTTTAGTAGTTGAAGGCTCAGTGGTGTACTTTTAACATAGGGTTGAGAACCTCAAACACACATTTCGCTAAGCCAACGTATACATACGAAATTGCGTTCCGTTGAAATCGTCTGTGTAAATAAGTAAACAAATGTAACTTATATTTTTTAATTTGTGGCGTAACAAAAGGGTGGCAAAATGCCACGGGCCCGCGACCCAAGAGGGCCCCTGCCCAAGTGATATTTAGTTATTAAGAGAGGAGGCCTATGGCCATTAGTGGGACATATACAACGTTTAATTGAGTGCGCTGAAAATCTCGAAGTTTAATAAAATTAAACTGAGTAGGGACGATTTTTACTGATAGGGCCCCGTCAAAAGAATTGCCACGAAAGAAGATTTGCCACGGGCCCCAGATGGTATAGTTACGCCACTGTTTTTAATACCATTGTAAATTAAAGAAATATCTTAATTGTAGTACACATTGAAAAGCTTCTCACTTTAACAAGAGACGTACTTCTTACTTACGTAGAATTATACTAATACATATTTGATTTGAAATTATCTAAAATAAAACGAATAGACTTAAAAAAACTATTGATTTAGGTTATATATCCTTCTCATAAAATTTTTGAACCAATATGAACCTGACAATCATCAGATTATAAGAGCACCAGGATCTCTGGTAAGTGTATGAAGCTTAATGCAAAACGCCGAAGAACTAATACACGCAAAAACTTACTAATGAATTGTCAAGTTTTATGTCTTACTAAAAGCTCACCTAATGTTAAATGATATGAACACTCAAAGCCAGAGGGCTCGCGAGTGCGCTGCCGGCCTTTTAAGAATTGGTACGCTCATTTCTAAAAACCCTAAGTCGAATTGGTTCGGTTAACAAATTTGTCATTAATGCAACTACAAATACTTTGTATCGCACGTTTGATTTTCTGGAACATTCTATTAACGACTTTTTTAATGATTTAAACAAAGCAAACGAATCTTAACCTTATTTTTAAAACAAAAAAATCCACTTTCTTTTGTTATGAAAGACAAAGACGTTACGAAAGCGTCAATGAATCACGGCGTATGAGAAATACGCAATACCCAAATTCATTTTTAAAACGCATTTATTCCGGAATATTGGTAATCTCCATAGAGATTCTGATAATCGTTTAACGCCGCGCCGTCAATAGACAGCAAAGCTCTTGTATAGATTGCGGTATCATCATAAATAACTTCCTGTTTTTATGGCGGAGAAAATTCGTCCGTTGTCCTATTGTACAGCTTTATAATGAAGCTCAGTGGATTGGTTTCAAACGTGCTATTTGTCAACATATACATTTACATAATAGTTGGGGAAGTGAGGTATATTTTACTAATAATTAATATATCGCTTGTTACACAATGAATGATGCTTAACATTTGTAAGTAAAAAAGAGTGCGTTTGCTTATGTACGCGCGTAAGAAGTTATACTTCTTTGGTATTATTAAAAATAGTTTTTGATTGCATGCAAATAATTAATTACAATTAAATAATCAAAGACTGGAAAAGGAGTCATTATAGTCAATAAAGTTCAGTTTACTTTTGAAAAATTAAATAAATAAATATTTATTATTATTCTCTTACATTAAGTGTAACATAAATTCTATTATTATTCGAATGTTGTTATAAAATTATGTCCAATGCCGTAGCATCTTCAGTGGGCAACTTCATTCTATTAATTTTGTGTCACGGTGCGTGCGCATCGTAAAATTTCACTCTCATCAATTTTTCATAACGTGCCTAAAGAAGTATAACTTCAAAAAATTTGGAAGTTACAGAGTAAGAGTCCAGATGTGTGTTCACAGAACAAGTAGGCGATCAGCCTTCTATGCCTGCCATACGCCGTCGATTTCTGGGTCTCTAAGGCATGCCAGTTTCCTACAATGTTTGTCTTCGCTGAACGAGGGAAATGCGCACTGAAATAAAAGGCCGAACGTTCAACCTCCTAAACTCACTTTTTCAAATACAGGTGGTAGGTATTTGAGAAATCGAAAGATTTAATTTATCAAATACAGGTGGTATTTGAGAAATTGAAAGATTTAATTTATCATTAATACAGGTGGTATTTAAGAAATTGAAAGATTTAATTTATCAAATACAGGTGGTATTTGAGAAATTGAAAGATTGAATTTATCAAATACAGGTGTACTTTCATACTATGTTTAATATCCTAATCGTTTGAAATATCATGCAGTACGTCTGTCGGGTCCGCTAGTATTCTTATATAATTGACGTGTATATCTAAAATGTCATATTTTCTAGTGTTTTTTGGCAGGCATATTTCAAAGCTTATAAATCAATACTACATATACCCTACTAATTTAATATCAGAACGACTTACTCTTTTTTTATTTAAATTTAAATTTGCTTAAGAATTTTTGTAAACCGTTTTTACACTAGTAGTAGACAGACACTCACACTCACACGGCGTGTGTCAGGCAAAGGAGGCTGATTACCTACTTGCCTATTAGATTGAAAAAGGCCCAAACCTTAAAGAGGATGTAGCGCCACTGATTTTTTTTTATTAGGATTGCCAATTGTGAGTTTTATAATTGTGACCAAAATGATGCAACTAAACCTCAAAAGTAATGAACACTGGTCGAGGCAAACATGCTTGATTTACTACAATACCTTGGCAGCTACGCTATGCATCATCTATATTCTATACTAATATTATAAAGAGGAAACATTTGTGTTTTTGTATGTATGTTAGTAATGTTTTCACACAAAAACTACTGGACCGTTTTCAAAATCTCCACCATAAGAAAGCTGCATCTTTACTAACTGACAAAGGCTATATTACATTTTTTTTTAAATAGGGATCCCTAATAAAAATGCAATAATCCAAGGTGTGAAAAAATTATCCATAAAAAATATGTTATTGCGTAAACTGTGGAAACTATTGACGATGGAACAAAAAAAAGTATCAATATCTACAAAAAAAAATTTTACCCATGGGCAATTGTATGTTGGCTATCCCGAGTCGGAATTACAAAATATGAAATTGTTTTGTTGCCACAAAACAAAACTACGTCAAAATGTTGTGTATTGATATGTTCTAAGACACTAAAGTTCTTCAAATAAATCTCTTCATTAATATTATAGAAGAAAGATTTGCATTTTGAATTTTCGTTTTTATTTTTAACAATTTATAATAATCAAGCTTAAAATTCCTGGACTGATTAAAAAAATTATTTCATTACCTACTTGAAATCAAGAATTTTTCAATACCTGTAGAGAATTTTTAAATTTACTAATATCGGAAATTCTACGTAAATGATGTTACGAATTTAAAAATGTATAAGATATAGTATTCGTAGTAAAGTAAAATCGGTATATCAATTAGATTATGAATGTTAGTGTGTATCTTATAATCTGAAAGGAAGTATTTAAAACCTATGAAAACTAAGTAAAATAAAACTTTAATGTTAACAAAAATACATCTATAGTTCGACTTAGTAGACTTTCCACTACCACAAGATCGGTATCTACGCGAGTGAAACCGTAGGGCATTGCTGATTATTATAATAAAGTTATACAAGTGAAGATCCTTTGAGGTTAAGTTTTGATTTCATTTGTCAGTCATCCAATCGGAGGAGCTTTATTTTCCCGCTCAAAAATACAAATATGCATCAAATTGTATTATAGATCGGTTTTTTGAAGTGAATGACAAATACTGATTATCTGCTAAAGCCAGAATGCGGTTTCTCTACACCATTTCAAACTCGCTTATTTGCGGTTGATTTGCGGTATTCCTAATTGAAAGATAAACTTCCGAAGCCAAATTGGGTACTTCAATTATTGAGCTTCATTGTACTCTTTGGTTACACGTAACTACCAAACTAACACAAAATTATTAATATAATTTATAGTTATTCTTAAAGGTTAAACACTATTATATTACGGACCTATTATACGTAGTAGACATGTATAATCATTTCACCCTGACTTATGATGTTTCTCGAGCTTGTGCAAGTTAAGAAATTTCTTGCCGAACACCACCAGTTGCCATTCCAGGTGTTTCCAAACCGTTACGACTTAGTGGTCACCCAAAGGGTGTCCATGAGCGCCTCATGATGCCTCATGTGTCATGAAAATAATCATGAAAATCTTATGACATTTCATCTACATATTATGTCAATGTTTCATATCAGTGATAAAGAAAAAACTTGATGAACTTACAGCTAAATTAAAACAACTCTATAGAGATAAGAATATAAATACCATAGAAAAAAATCGAATAGACACGGAAATTATGTACGAAAAAATTGCATTCAATGATATTTAATAATAAAATGTTATATTAGCAAGATTTAATTTTAGATTTCGAATTTTTAAATTTTGCACTGCACAGTGACCCTAAAATATAACCTTTGTTAAATTGACCAGAATGCATACACTGACGTCAAAAACAATTATCAATTAACAAAATATAAACAAATAATATAAGTAGCTGATATAATTAATAAAAATATTTTATCAAACATCCTATAAACAGTGCCCCGATTCGTATAAATTGGTTGCTATCGCGTGTTCACTGTTCATGTGTAATTTCTTTATATCTCGTCGTGTCGTACAATCAAAACAAATAAATAATTAGTTTAAAATTCGCTGTGAAAGATGCAAAGCCAACGTGAGAACAGTGGTCATACTTATATGCAATGGATTGTGGCTTCAATAGGTAAATAGCTCAAGGACAGTCGAAGCTTTCTTTATATATTGAAGCGGGTCGTTGAAAATTTTTCTCCAACTTCACGTGTGTTTCTATATACTATTCATGTTTTATTCCATTTCGATGATATCGTATTAATTATCTTTAGCAAAGCATGGTTAACACTTTATTATCAGTATCCGATACTTAAAGGAAGTTAGTCAAAAAAATCCTCAGGTTGTTAAATTCAAAAAGGAGTTGTTGGTACATCAATAATTTGAGAAAAAAAACACATGATTGCGAATATTTTTTGACTTGGTCTTTGACTCTTTTTGTATAATACTGGTATAATATATACTTTCAGAAGCATTCATATTATTACTGACAATTACAATAAATGATATCACCACGTATAATACTGTATAAATTAGTCAATTGTTCAAGTAATCTTGAATACCCTACATCCAAGATTACTTAAACAATTGACTCATTTAAAAATTACAATGGCAAGTTAATGTAACACTTCAGCGTAATATTACATTGCAAGTCGCAAAGCTGAATAAATCTTCAAATCACCTACGGTGGGTTTATTTCCTATTCCGCTGTTACATAATCAAACAACGCGGTGTCAGCACCTATTATTTCTTGTTGGGTGAGATTTACAAATTATGACCGTTATCCATGCCATGTATTATGAGTTATAGTACAAGAGTCGTTAATCGTATATTGAATAATTCATTCAAAACATTTAAAACATAGTATTAATAGTACTATTTATTGTCTTAGAGACCTTACCTTATGACGATTTTCTAAAGATAAAAAAGATATTGCATTCCCACATTAATAACAGTATTTTAGAAAAGATTTTTCGGAATGCGACTTAATTGAATAACAATGAAACTTAGCAAAACTCACAATTTCTTTATTCTTAAGACTTAGGATTAATACTCGCGCATAAGAGATCGGCACCTGCGCGTGGACAAATTACATAACCAAATTCGGTCACAAAAAATCGACTGAGAGGTCAAAAGGTAAGTAGGGCAGGGCAGGGGATGGCCGGCGCGGGATACTTAGATACTATTTACTTTCCTTTCGCACTATTACTAGACATAGACATAGACATAACCTTTATTACATACGAAAACACACACACATAAACACACAAAATAACAATACTTAAAGAAAAAAAAAAATAAGACATATCAAAAACAATAAAAATAAACAATAAAAATTCCCTTTTCTTTTCTGTGTTTTTTTTTTGCAATGTGTCTGTACTGTGGTTGTAATTGGCACTGGCTCAGCATTATGCTAAGGAGCAAAAAGTTCCACAGCGCTGGTCATTCTGCCAGAGACCACAGCAGCTAGTTTTCGCCTCAGTAGCAAAGAAAAAAAATAAAAAATAATAATAATAATACTAAGTAGAAAATAATAATAATAATATTAAAGTTAGGAGTGTGAGGTATTGAAACTGTCTAGTCGACAAGTTGAAAATGGAACAAAATAATACTGCTCTTAAAATTATGTGCGAAGCATCATTGAATCCGGAATGACGTCTAGAAAAATGTGCTAAAAAAAATTCAAAAAGTTATAGACAATTAAAGATGAAAAAATTAAATTTTACGGAATAAATTAATTATAGTGTTCAGAACACCATAATTTTTTCAAATTTAAAAAAATATTCTATACCTTAAATAAATTAATTAATGTGCCGTAGTCGCTTTTGACGCCACGCGCGAATCCTAAAAATGTCACCCGCAGACCTATTTTCAGCGTTAAATTAAAATTATAAATAATGGAGATAGAGTTCCGGGAGTGAAGAGTTTTTTTTTGAAATTTCCTCTTCTTTCAGAATCTTTATTTGAAATTTCTTAAATATTAATAGTTTATTAAATATTGGAAAAAAATGCCATTTTTTTCATCTTTAATTGTCTATAACTTTTGCAATTTTTATGAGCTAATACACGCTTTAGCAAACTTTTCTAGACATCATTCGGATCCAATGAGCTATCGCACATAATTTTAAGAGCAGTACCTCTATTTTGTTCCATTTTCAACTTGTCGACTAGACTACTACTCCATTTCTTTCGCACAACAGTGAAACACAAATCGGCAAAGTCTCTTGTAAAAATTGTCGATGGGAAATATCACTTGTATTTTTACTAAGTACATACAATATATGATGTTTTTTTTGTTTTTAACGGCTTAACAGATTTAATTGAAATTTTGAAAATCATTTAATATCGTTGAGCTCTTATGGGTTTTCATTTTAATGTGATTACATATGAAACACCTTGTATAGGCCAAAGTAGCGGCGATTTGCTATCATAATGCGTCTACTGATCTCTCGGCTGTTATTCCTATCACCAGGCACCATTGAGCCCGAGTAAACAAACAAAAATGTTCTAAGAATACACATATAATAATCAGACATTTTATATTCAAAATACCTTTGAAAAAATCGGTTCTACAATTAGTTAAAAATTTAATATATTACACAATTTAAACTTTTCCACTAAACTAAAAGTTTCTATATTATTACTTTGTATAAGTAGTTACAATTACTTTATGGGTCGTGGTATCAGAAGCAGTTGTTTCTTTAATAATATTTTTATAGGTAAAAAGATCAGCCTTCTGTGCATGGCACACGTTGGTTTTAGATTTTAAAAAATGCCAGTTTCACACGGAAAAAAATGCATCGATAACCAGCTCGACGACCTCCGAGTTGAGACATATTCTTTTGTTTACTAGGCCATCACTGTTCACTGTTTAAATAAGACGGTAGTTAGAAATATATTTATTACAAAATCTAATAAATGGTGCTTACACGCTCCTTGTGAGCAGTTGTGTCGAGAGGGTAGATTATTACTAGAAACATATCATATAATAAAATTTGTTGATTTTAAAATACGTTTACAAAAACACTAACAAACTCTTTATAACAAATAAAATTATTAAATATTTATTCATTAAATACAAAAGCATCAATTTTTTTTAATAATGGGAGCATACGGATCGTAAATAATAAAGCAAGATATTGAAGTCTGTCTCAAACTTCTAGTGGCATAGAGCTGGCTTCCGTTTACGATGCAATTTCCCTTGAAATTCAAAGTGAATACTCAAGTACGCTAGAATACCTTGACGTAGAAACATTGTGATAACGCTAAGAGTCTACTTTAACATTACTGTAATAAATTCTTCATAAACATTACTCATCTATATGTTATGAACTCTAAAATTTTATGCCAAGCAATTTAAAACGACCTTATAAATAGAAACACGTGTTGTTTAAAAATAACCTAAAAGTATTTCTTGGTAATAAAGATATTAATATGTTGCACGTTTGTTACAGTTAATATAGCAACACTGGCCTATGGCATGGAAGTAGGCTGGATTTCCCCAATGACCAAAATCCTTCAGTCTGAATCTTCGCCTATGGGATATCCTTTATCGGATAATATTATATCATGGGTAGCAAGCGTTCTCTGTATAGCTGGAAGCTTGGGAGTAATAATTTTTTCATACTTAGCTGACACAATTGGAAGGAAGTGGGCAATCATAGCATTATTAGTTCCACAAACGGTAATATTCCAAAGTAAATATTCCGACTAATCTAAATTATAAATTTTCATGGTTTACTTCGATTAATGTGAAATATCTATGGAGAAATATAAGTCCAAATTACAAATGAAATAAATATTAAATACTTCATATACAATAAATTTTATACTAAGGTTATGTTTGTCAAATTATAATTTTTTTCTAATTTTCTAGATGTCTTTGACTTTGAGGTTACTTTCTCCAACTGTAAAGGCTCTCGTAATTGCCAGAATACTGGCAGGAATCACCGGTGGAGGTTGCTTTACTGTAATCCCAATGTATGTCAAAGAACTTAGCCAAGAAAGTCTAACGGGCGTTTTGGTATCTCAGCAAGTTTTATTTCAAAACATTGGTATTTTTATAATGTACACTATTGGGATTTACTTGGATTATTACTCTACACTATAGATTATATCTGTTTTGCCGGTGATCACTTTATTACTGCTGTTAAAAGCCCCTGAATCGCCGGCATTCTTGGTGAAGCAACAGAAGATCCATGTAAGAATAATATAAACGTAATGTCAGTAGTTCTTTACAATATTTTGATTAAATACTAACGTAATTAATTCGCTTTACAGGAAACATATAAAGTTGTAGCAATGCTTCGAGGTTTAGAAAGCAATGACAAGAGAGTAGAAAATGAAGTAGAAAGTATGCAAAGACAAGATGTTGAATTTAAAGCAATGCCACAATTGAATCTTCTAACTATGTAAGGAAAAATTCCTAATTTAATTAATCTACAATTCCATATTTATCTGTATTTATTATTTGATTTTAACAGTAAAGGACGATGCTTGGCGTAAGGGCGTAATAATAACTTTAATTTTTTTCACAATACAATCATTCAACGGAGCGGTGGCCATAGTGACTTTTGGTGTAACAATTCTTCAGTCAACTGGTGTGGAGTTCAATATTGATCCAGAATTCCAAGCCCTCAGTTTTCCCGTCATTATGATAATAGCTTCTCTTTTACTGACAGTAGTGGTTGAGAAGTTTGGTAGAAAGGTAATTAATATATTATTAGTATTGAAGCTTTTTCGAATACACAGTAATTTGACCTATATCCTCATCTACTTATTGACAGATTTTGTTAATAGGCGCATTCACAATATCAGCTGTAGCATTACTGCCACTTGCAATAGCATTGCTATTAAGACTTTATGGAGGATCTTTACCGAACTGGCTACCTATTGTATCTCTTATGACTTCCGTTGCTATGTTTTATGGTGGTATAACACCTTTAACATACATTGTTACCACAGAGATGTTTGTATTCCAGGTAACAGTTGCATTCATTTTGTTTCTACTGTTTTTATGACCGATTATTAACCTTAAATTTTTTTCAGATACGTGCCAAATTAATGGGTTTAGTCTGTTCGTATTGCTGGATTACATTTTTCATACCACTCACAATTTACACGCCAATTACAAATATGTTTGGTGCATACACGAGTTTCTTTATTTTTGGATGTTTTAATGTAATAGGTTTAGTATTCACAATATTATACATCCCAGAGACAAAAGGAAAGAGTGATGAGGAGATCAGAACGGCGATAGTAGGACGAAGAAGAATAGATGATTCTATATGAAATTGAGTAAAAACGGGATTTCTGTGACCGCTATCTCATTAGGAATGTTAAGAAAATTTGGCTAATGATTCATTAGAACGATGTGGATAAGTGCCGTGGATATAATAGCATTGAATAATATGGTTTCTGTATTATTTAACGTTGAGATGGTCCTTATAGACTTAAATAAAAATGAATCGGTGAAATGACTGATTTATACAGATTTTAATATATTGAATCAATAAATAATCGTAATATATTTCTGTGTTTCGTTGTCTATTTGGTAAAATACAAACTTAAAGATAACCTTATACACAAACAAAAGACGCTGATTTTTTATAAGCTTTCTACTTATATCGAAAGACTTGTTGTGAGAAAATAGTTCTATCATATTAAATTAGTTAATTGTTTCATGAATTGAAAATTTTCCTTGTTTTATGTAAATGATTTAGAAAGTTCTTGAATTTCTCCTCGGTTTTATAGCTTTGGCCATGTCGTAAACTTGTGAAGGCTTCGTTCACGAAACTTTTTGACAGAAATAATTTTTGTCACAATATTACTTATATTAAATTATTTAAGAGAATTTAAAAAATTTGGAAGATGAAAACATTGAATGTTTTTTAATTTAAAGCAAGCAATTAAAAAGTTATTTGGCTAGTTTAATAAATAATTAAATGAACAAGTTTTTCGTTGTTTGTTAGTTAAACCCCTTTCACTAACTTTTTTTGAACTTAAAAAGGCTTAAATAAAAATGACTTGGATCGATGACGTTTCATTACTTGCCTAGCCTGTTGACTGTTAATTTAAATTTAATTCCACTTTCTGCCACTCTCAAACCCGAAACGAAACTCTTCAAACTCTCAATATGGCGTCGGCATACCACAACTTTGATGGTACAAGTACAATGGAAGAGTGTAGTGACAATACTAATGTGAATTTGACTTAAGCAATTTAATTTTAAAATAAATATTTTTTATGCCATATGTTTATCTTTTTAATTTCTGCCAAATAATGACTTTATCGTACGAATGGCCTAAGCAATAGCCAGCCAGTTTATTAAATGTTGTAACAAACGCTACGGCTGAATATCTTTCAGGCCGTTAGTTAAACGGCGCCGTTTTGTTAAAAGGCTATGCTGTTAATTGAACTGCTAATTAAGCTAGTTGGCTGCGACATATACAAAAAATGGTCGGCAGTGACGAGGTTCTTACCTCCCATGGTATCCCATGGAAAAATCCTAAATAGAAGTAAATAGGAGTAGCTATGCCCATCTTCTACCTACTAGGTAGTGCACCGAAGCGTTTTAAGCGTAACAAGGTAGAATACGAGAGCGACCCCAGAGTCTCTCTACCCGAACAACCAGGAATCTAACCCCGAAACGAAACACGAACTACCAGAGATGGTTTTTATGGCTATTTCTGGACCAGTCTCTGAATAGCAGAGATTCTTATGTGGGTCGAATACTACATACCCCAGCATCTTTCGAGGGTACGGCATGCGCTTATTTCCACATCGGATACAAAAAAAAAGGAAAGTTCAAAAATAACGATTTGAATATGAAAACATTGCTCCACTTGAAATTGGAAGTATGAATACTTCAGACTTGGAAAATAATCTTTTAAATTTAGCGATGCTAATATTTCTTAGTATATATTCACTGAATGGTGAAGCTTGATGGTTAACCAGGTCGTAGGGCACTTCAAAGTTAATCAAATGTAAAATAATTGCTCGTGTAGTCCTCTTTCGCACCCCTTACTTCACTTTAATCATTCGACTGTGAGCTAATATCATTAATAAAGCATATAATTTGTACTATTTTTACGACACCTGAGAAATAATTTTATATAAAAAGGCGATGTAAGCGAAACATAGAACATGTGTATCGATTTACGAATTAAATTTCTAACGGAAGTTCGTGAGATTTATTTAATTACAGTATTTTAATAAAATTTCACAAAATAATCTGCCAACTTTTAACATTTTTTTTTTATAAAAGATAATTTCAAATAAAAATCGCTTACGACGCGACGTACATACATTCCGACTTCTATGTACGATATAGTACATTTAGTTTTTTAGAAGCTTGAGATAGTAGATCGAAAATAAGTTTGATCCCCACTATTCATATTTGAATTTTTCATTAAAATAGTCTTTGGTTAACACGATTACATTGAAATAAATCGTTTTAAACATACATCTGTATGTATGGTAATGAGATAGTTTTTTTTATATAGTCAGTGAACAGTCTTTCGATCTTAGAAATGCCGGTTTCCACATAGCATATGCATACATAGAAATATTAATGAATGGTCCAAGGAACGACCTTGGCTTTAAAAACAAGCTTAGAGCCAATATATCAGGTTTGATTTGTTGTATTTGATAAACAAACAATTTGTTGATATAATCTTAATATCAATTAAAATATCTTTGTGTTTTCTTAAAAATACATATTGAAATATCAGTGTCAACTAATAAATTATCAAGTCTTCATAATCTTGTTGAACTCCTTTTCGAGTGGTTTCCCATAAAAAATCATCAGTCCAAGTGAAAAAAGTTAAGATTATAAATAGGAACGTTTTATTTTTGTTAGTTTGAATACACCCAAAAAACTACCGATTCAAAAATTCTTTCAACCTTGAATACAACATTATTTCTACTTATTATAGACTAAGTTTGTTCCAATATTTTAAAAAGTAAAAATCCATGCGGCGGGCTCACAGTGACTATTAAAATTAAACAGAGAATTTGTATATGCCTTTAATGTTATATCGAGCAACATAGTAACTTCACATTCAATATCATTAATCAATTTTCAAGTAGTTATATGTGAACTCGGTTCAGGTACGTGTATTACTAACTGCAAACTAACGGTCTATATGCAAGTTTATCGAAGGTACTATCGACAAATTAATTTTAGTTTCCAAGCAGAACAGTTGGCAACATCGTAGTTTAATAATGCAGGTATCATCTAGTCTAGTAACTGTTTATAATGAAGACTTAAGTGATTTTCTAAGCCAATAGGCATAATGAACGCGGGCGCGAGAAGCGATGTGGATAGTTTTAACAACGGAAAAAGAGTAGGAGTTTATTTTCAGTTCTTCGCTCGCTCTTCGCACTTGATATATTGACGATCATAGGAGCACATATTATAACCAATATTTAGAGATACAGGACATAGGCCTGCCCTCCGAGTTTTATCGTTAAATTTTTTGTAGCTTTAATAGTATTTCTATTATTAAATGTGAAAATTATGAATTAAGGGTGACATCGTATACAGAAAACATATATATGAATATAAACGATATATTACATTTTTTCATTTGATTATAACTAATGTATTATATATTTATATATATTAAATAAATAAAAATTAATCGCAAAAGCGCAAAAGTCGAAGATGGACTAACTCGAGTAATTTATTAAAATTAAGAGAATGGTTTTATGGAGACAAAAGTCGGAAAAAAAAAATCATGTTTAGTCAATTGAGCAGTATTAAATAACAATACATGATAAAACTATATTAATAATTGTTTAAGTTTAAACACATTTAAACACAAAAACTTTTACCTGCGACCTACCTACCTATGTTAGATAATTAATTTAAAAAAATGTTTTTCTGAAGATCTAAAATCTTTCTTACACTATTAAAATACGTTATTAGCGGTACAAAAAATAAATCTCAATATTAACTTTTAAATTTAAAAAAAATGCAATAGACGTTCTATTTACTCTTTAACATTATTTCCACTGCTATCCGCCCTGCTTATACAGTAGTTAAATACTTAAACATTAATTTTGAAAATCTAGTGTTTGAATCGGAATCAAGAACAAAAGTAGTTGTTTGTAATAATCACAATATTTTTAAATAGAAATAGTTTCTTGTCTAGTTACACTAGTTTTGTAATAGTTATTTACAATGTAATTAAATATATATAATATATGTTGGGTTGACAAATTAGTACTCACTGATTTAATTTAGTATTTTCTGTTATAGTATAATATAATGAATGGGACAATTACGGGCCACGATCTCATTAACGTCTCTTTGTCCTAGGCGCAACAGATAGTCCCTTTTGCAGAGGCTGTTTCAGAATCAGTCTACCATGTAGTCCTTGAATGCGAAGCTGTGGTATCCCAACGAACAGAAATCCTCGGAGCAGTGAGGTCAGTCCGTGAAGTCAGCGAAGTGTCCATAAAAGTTTTGAGCTACTGGAAGGAGCTAGGCTGGCTTAATTAGTCAGGTCTTTACAAACAACGTACCAAATGGGCTTAGACCATTAGTTAAATAAATATGATTTTGAAAGTAAGAACTTAAACCTGGATCTTGTTTTTTGCAATAAGGCGTTAAAAATTATTATTTATTTATTTATGAATCCCGTCTAAGAAGAAACAGTAAGCATTCTTTCTCTTTTATTTTACACAGGTGTAGGATGAATTATAAAAAAAATATGATTTAACAAAGACATATAAAAATTGTCACAAAACGACGCATATTTATCTTCTAAAGAAATTCAAATGAGTATCATTGTACGCGACGGAAATAAACCCAGCCTTTATGAAGCAGTAACATGATACAGAATTTTTCCTTTCCTGTTTACTTCTCATTCTAATGTATGATTCAAATATGTAATAATGGACACGAAAAACCTTCTGCGCAATTTACTCAGAGGCTAGACTTTGTTTAGAAATGTATTATTCAAATTGGTAGATGGCAGATGATAATCGAAAATTATCATCTGCCATCATAATTACGTAATGTTACCTTCTTCATTAAAAATAAATCAGTGTGACTGCACCGTTATCACTAGTACTAACCCAATTGGACCGAAAGAGACAAAAGAAAACTTAGGTTAAAATAGTATAAGTCTAAATAATATAATAATATATAATAAATAAGTCAAAATCATTTATTCGTATAGTAACACAATGTATACTTATGAACGTCAAAAAAGAAATATACATTAAATGCTTCTAATTTTACATTTACTGCCAGTTCTCAAATCAAGGGCGTAGAACGGAAG